CTTGCACTTGTTGTATGTTCACGATCACATACGGGGGCAGCGGAGGTTGCAATAAGCATGCTCAGTTAATGCATGTCATTTCGTAGCGTGTGTTTGATGTCTGTGCGGCCGAGCTCGCTCCGTATGCAGGAGATGCTCACATGCTCCGAGTCCTCATTTGACTTGGGGACCAGCTCAGTACATGGAGGCTTCTCTCGTTGCAGGAACACACGAGTGGCAAACGTAGAAACGGTGTAAATCCGGAGAGGGCTGAAAGCAGCTGTGTGAAGGTAGAGGAGTCAGTTTGCAGATGTGTCTCTCTCCGTCCCTGAGACCCTAACTTGTGACGTTGTGCTTTCATGTCCACGGGTTAGGCTCTCGGGAGCTGAGAGGGATGCACGGCCAACACTATCTCACGCACGTTCCTGTCTCGAACAATGGCGATCAGAGGGGGGAAGGCCATGGCGCAGTGAGCTAAGGCGTTCACCGAACGCTCACCGTGTCACACTTTTCAGCTCGGCTCACACCCTGCTGTGATGTTACATGTCACCTGAATGCTTCTCGAACCTTTCCGCATTACCGTCGCGCTCTATCACATACGACGGGTCGAGGAGTGAACATGTGCTGGGGAAATCTCTGGGGTTTGGCGGATGAGGATGTGGCGGCATGAATCCTGTTTTAAGGGTCATGTGACAGAGCTAAAGCAGGCTGAGCTAAAGTTGTGTCGATGGATCCTTTCGCAATAGAGGCCTGATTGTATCAGCGTTGACCATCGACACAAGAGCTACGCTAATTATTTGCCTGAGTTTAACCATTAAATATTATTAACGCTGAATGTGCTGCTACCCGTTTGGTCCCATTGAAAGTCCCTAATGTGACTTTATGCTAATGTAGCATTTTGATTAAAATCCCCATAAAGTAAGGCACGTCAATGTCTTTTTATTTTTTACTTTTAGTGTCACATGGTCTCAAACGACTGCCCACCTCAGAGGAATAACATTTTCGGGCAAATGCAGATTACTTGCACAGGTAGCTTTTAAAACCAGCTTCAGGTGGGATGCTAATGAGAAACCAATGTCTGCCTTACACACTCCAAGGTGAACCAATAGCTGCTGCTGCTCGGTGCTAGTAGAGAAATAGCTTAACAGCTGGTTAGCATTAGCTTATGAGAGATAATGCTAATGCTGCGGTGATAGCATTAACCTCTTCATACACCAGCGGACACTGTTAAGTAAGGAAGCATCTGTCAGTGTGAGAGCTCTTTGTTTCTGCCGCCGGCCTGCATGTCTGTGTGCCTTTATGACTTGAGAGCAGCACAGAGTAATGTTGAGAGCGTAACCATGACAGCTCTGTACATTATGTGCTTGACCTCAGCGAACCCTCTGCGATGTTAAAGCTCACTCACTCATGCTAACACAATGTAAAGGTGACAGCGGGAAACCACGAGCAGGGGCAGCTAGAGACGTCCGCTGGGAACAACCGAGGTGCTTTTTGCTGCCAGACGACTTCATGGCCGCCGTCCATGATTCACGAGTCCTCGTGAATATGCAACTGTTGGTTTGATTCTGGTATCTAGCTGCAACCGGAGTGGCAGCACACCTTGTCATCGATAGTAACAAGGATCCCACTCGCTGACTTTGAATAACAGTGCGGTTGGTCATAGTAGCACATGGTGGCTCTTTTTGTCTGAGCCTTGTGGGTTCTCTCCTACCTGACTGCTGGTTTGGGGGGTTCGTTCGCCATGCCGTCCTCCCTCTCCACCTCGCAGTTTGCTATCAGGAGTGTCATCGTTCTCCTGAGATCCATTTGCAGCAGCCCTGTGACAGCGTGATTCATCGATATTTTCCTTCACACGCACTTCACCGTATCTAATATCTGGCTTTAATGGGGCGTAGCGAGGATATTGATGATACCTTGTCTTCTTGGCTGCTTCCCTTCATTTAAGCGGATACTGAACTCTCTGCACTTGTGCATCTAAAATTTTTAGCAAGTGGAAATGCGCCACATTGGTCATGTTTGCGGCTGCGGATCAAGCAAGGACCTTCAGCTGTTGCGCGTCACATACATCATACATTTAAGAAGATATACGTGGGACTGTGGCAAAGCCTTAAATCACTGTGACCCTGAAGTTCATTTATTTTGATCAATAAACGTCTCTTTCAACATCGCTGGTGTGACAGTTCGCTTTTACTTCTGGCCTTCAGCGACATTTCCTACGCTGGCAGCAGCTGGATGTAATGCGCTGATGTGTTCAACCTTCAGTCTGTCTCAGTGTATCACCTCTGATCAGGAGATGCTTCCATCCTGTTGTTAATGAGCCGATATGGATTTTAACTTGAACCCCCTCTGCGCTGCTAATCTGCTGCTTTAGCAATTCTCTTACGTAATGCCTGTGCGAGCCCCGTCCCTTATCTTTTTCTTCCATCTCTCTGCCTCAAAATCGTTTTTATTTGTTCAGCTCGGTGAACAAACAGTAACCTGGAGCGAGTTAGTGTCTAGCCGGTAAGCTCCAAAGGGGCTGCAGGCTTGCTCTCCATTGTTCGGCTGCTCCGAATGCTGTCTGTACACTGTGTCCCCATGGCTGAGGCAGACATGGAGGACAGACACTCAGACAGACAGACTGGTGGGCATGTACCCGCTGCAATAAGCTGCTTCATCACCCCGACGCGCTTCAGATTTTTCGACAAAAAGGAAATGGGCCGATAAACATCATCTGGACCGCTTTGCATCTGGGAAGCCTGCGAACTCAGTTTAGATGCGCTCAGACGTGGATGAAAACGTTTTTCTGTGCATGGCTTTCCAGCTTCAGGTGTCTCAGTCAGGAGCGACACCTGCCTCACAAAGCTCCCGCACAATGCAGCCATTTAGCCCACAGTGAGTTTCAGTTTCGGTTTTCAGACTCCCATGAAATGCAGCTTTAGCGCCTGCAGATATCGGCTTTTCCCACATCGGTTGATTCTGAACAGGCAGCTGTTGATTGATGTGCTGGCTTTTAAGGTGGATCTTTTTTTTTTTAAGGTGGACCGTGAAAGGTGCAGTGGACACACCTTGGGTTGACTGATTAAAAAGGTTCAGTGGGTGACAGTTGAGTTCAGGTGTAAGTGCAGAGAGCGTGCAGGGAGGGTTGCTGCAGGGTTACGCCCAAACCGCCTCGAGGAAACCTTCCGTGGAATCGGGTTATATCCAAATAAAAGTGAAAATATTGATCGCAGAGATCGATTGGCACATTGTGAAAAAGCCTCGACCGAGGCGACAGACGCCTGGCATTGAGCCTCTCTCAGTCTCTTTGTGGCAGCAGGGACGGTTTCCCTCGGTGTTGAGTTCACAGTCACCATTCTGCAGTTTTTTTCTGCCACTCCCTTCAACACACAGCCTGCTCTCAGCTGCAGGAGGGAGAAGCTCACTCATCAATAACCAGAGCTGGTCAGCGCGCATGTGTGTGTGTGTGTGTGTGTGTGTGTGTGTGCTTCCTCCAGTATCTGTAAACATGTCTGTAATGGTGTGTTTGTGTGTCTCTTTAGCAGTTCTTCTCACTGCAGAGGGGTTCACTGCGCCTTCCTTCTAATCTGTTGGTGAAACAAGATGGCGTCGCAGCTCCACGTGGGTCCTCCCACGCCGGCTAATGCCCACTACCTATGGCACACACTAAAGCAGCGGAGGTCATTTTTTTTTTGTAATTGTTGCACACCTGGGGCCTATTTACTCACCACATAGCTGAAATTGCTGAGGCTCTTCTCGGCGCTGTAGCTTGGCCGACTTGAAGAGATTTAGGATTTGGGGCAGATCCAGTGCTTTCATTGTTTTTCTTGTTAGTTTTTTCACTCAGTCTGCGTATCAGCTGCCAAACTGTATGCTGTTTTGTCTACCATCTGGGCCGTTTGAAATGTGCTGGTGGGGCGAACGAGTGATTTTTCAGCATCATTTGTCTGCGTATGAGCATGTGTGTGTGTGCATGAGGCCAGTTTAGAGGAGCTCGGGGATCGTGCGCAGCCACATCACACCAGCAGATTAACCAGACTACATACTAACCTCATTAATCTGAGAGAGACAGCGACACACACACACATTATAAACTCTTCCTATTCTCTTTATCCAATAGAAACCCAGGTATTGATGACTGGAGGCCGAGGCAGAGCCCGTCTCAGTGTCATCCCGCTGCAGGTCACGTTGGACTTAAAGACAGGCTGGAAATCCCCTGATGAGTCAACATTTAACACTTTGCTGCCACGTCAACCAAAAAAGCAGCACGCTTTTTTCTTTTTCTTTTTTTTTTTGAAGGAAAAAGAGCTTAAGCATGTTGGCAGTGGTTAACGTTTTTGGATAATTTTCTGCCTCAGCAGCCTTGATACCAGGAAGCTGTGCAGATGTGTGTCTGCACAGGCCGATTAGATTTTTTGGGGGGTTTTCAAGTTGGTTTCTTTTTGTTTTTCAACTGAGCTGGCAAGTTTCTGAAGGGTGATATCAGTAATCTATTTGATGATGATGGGAGAGTCACGCGGCGGCTGGATCGGGACGAGATAAAGAAAACCAATCTCACAGAATTGAAGTCTTTGACTTTATCTGAGATCTCTAAGAAGATGTTCAATCATTTGCATACCTGCTCTTTCTGTTGCGGAGGCTCCTATTACAGCATTACATTCTTCACTTTGTCTTGTGGGAAGTTACAACAAGCGTTTTTCACCGTATGAAACGATTAATCGATAATTGTTAGTTGCACCGTTTGATTCCACGCAGGTAAACTTCACAGTGATAAACGATCGTAAAGGCACAGATGCGCAGCGGAGACAGATAATCTGTGAAGTGGGAATGTTTTGTGGAGTAATTGAGCAGTCGATTGAGTGGCAACCATTTCACAGGCGATTAATTAGCTTTTCTACTGACAAAGCAACACACTGGAAGACATCATTCTGATCGTTGTATTAAAATATAACAGACATTTTCTGGCTTTTAATAACCGTTACCCTCCACCACGTTGCTTTTAATTGTAATTTTTAATTTGTACCACTTCTTATTATTATTTTTTTGGCTGGGATGACTTTATTTGTGTTGTCAGTTTCCTTATCTTGTTGTGTCAGTAGCTGCATCTCTTACATCTACCTGGACGTTTGTATAGAAGTACGTTGAGAGCCAGGGAGTCAAAGGCCTCCTCCATGGCCAATGAAGCTCAATTTATTCGTTTACATTTAGTTTGCAATGCATTGTTTTCTTTTCCTGCTATATATTATGTACAGTAGACATTTGTATTGACTATAATATACATATATTTTTTTAAAGTGACATTTTAGTTTCCCTTTGTGGGGTCAGGAATGTTTTTTTTTTACATGATTGTAATGACTAACTGTTCTTGGGGTCGTGGCTATTGATGGATTTGTGAGTTTATAAAGCTGCTCATAGCACCTGAGGTGAGACTGAAACATGCTGTCGAATCAAACGGACGCCACCGATTTCCTGCTGTGACATTTTAAAACACGTGACCTGCCAAATAAGCTCATACCAATAAACTCACTCTTAGCTTAGCATCACCTCTGGACGCACACTTTTCACGCCGGTTCATGTGTTTCACTGATACATGTGCTCTGCCTTCTGCGTTAGGTTCACGTTGTGTGTTGTCGTCCACTTAATGTTCAGCTCAGTGACACTGGATTGTACATGCAGTAGGAACACAAGTGCCACTTTTATTACTATTCTGATATAAATGTAAGATTAATGCCCTTTGTTTTTAATGCATGTTCATTTATTAGCATACAACATGATGCACAGCCTCATGAGTGAGACAGATGATTGTCAGTCTACCTGAAAATAAAATGAATCTATGCAACACATTTGTAGAGCACAGGTCATGTAGATTCCTTTTTTTCTTTCTAATAAATACAGCAGAGATGTGAGAGCAGCACAGCGCTCTCTTTAGAGGCCTGCTATTGAGATGTCTTACAGTGGTGTCTAAATAAAGTCTTACTGCTGTCATTTCACATGACTGTCAATTCTTTAAACTGCCATGCTTATTAATAGAAGCTCTGACTGAGTTGTGGGATTTTGCCAACCAGCATGTTTTTTTATTTCATCTTTGGAGGTATTTTTATACCTTTTTAAAAGCTTGAAGACTAATTCTTTGGATTTTTTTTTTGTTTTGTTTCTGCAGAGCTGCCAAAGACGTATCACTGAATCTCCTGTGCTTACCACAAAGAAATTATGCAGTAAATGGGCTTAAAGATATTAATAAAGACGGCTGACAAGTTGTCAGCTTTGTTATTAGTTTATTTGAAATTGGGTGCATGGTTATTTATTAAATTGTTTACCACACGAACACATTATCAGCTAATGTGTGATGGTAATTAGACCTGTTTTCATTGGTAAACATTTAATTAGTGATGCAAATAGTTGTTTGATCTGAAGCATGCAGCAATCTATAAATGCTTTTACACTTCAAGCACAACACTCAGCTTTTACTGCCTGACATGTGTTGGTGCTCATTTGGACAAGAGAAAAAGGAATCACTTCAGTAGCTGCATTGTGCCGCTCTGCGAATGCTCTCCACTGTGCATGTTGTTCATTGTGAAACAGCTGCTGAACAGCTTTGTCTTTGTCTTTCTTGCAGCCTGTTAGACCAGGTCAGGACACGTCGGGGATCGGTCCACGAACATGAGACGGATATGACAACCACACTGAAGCCAGCTTCAGCTGCCCATACACACTCCTGCGCACATTTTTGTGGTGTGTAGGATCGCTTGACCAGGAAATGCGGATGTACATACACACTGACATACTAGAAATGTAACAGAAACCGGTGTTGTTTTTAAAAATATATATTTTATATGCCTTTGTAAGACAAAAAATTGTAATAAAATATTCATCAGATGTCTTGTGTTGTATTATTTCTGTGATATATAGGTACGCACCAAGGTTCTCTGCTATCATTTTATTATTTATAGCATATGAAGCATGCTGACACTTGATCTACTGTGTTTTACTGTGTTTTTACGATTTCTTTTACTACTTATTTACGATGTTGTATGATTTCTAGATTTATGCTGAAACTTTAGCATAACAGCTGGCATGCTTCCTCTGTGACTAAAATAAATGACTGTGTCATGCTAGTACGTTAGCTAACACTAGGCTTTCTTCAAACACTTTATGATAAACTAGTTTGTGTAAATGTACGCTTTAGTGTAGCGTGCTGTGCTTGGTAATATCACTGGCATTTTAGCATCCATGCTAGCATAACACAGTATGCTAAGGGACATCATTATATCAACAAAGTAAACAATGATATTTGATAACAACTTTGCACAAAGTACTTTAACTGATGCTACACATTATGCTAACCATAATACACAATGCTACGTCGTGGTGCACTACATGCTAACATTTGAGCACATACTGATCTGACAAAATGCTGCTTCAAGCTACCACTTTAGCATAAACTATGTTTTATAGGCTTCTTGCCGACACTTTTTTTATGCAGTGTCATAATAACCTGCACTCCAGGCTAACATTTTAGCATGCACCATATCAGAAGGCTCCACACTGCTAGCAACATCACAAAGTTATTATTTCTGTGTATTATGGCAACGTAATAAACAATGCTACGTGATCGTACATTACATGCTAACGTTTTCGTTTATACAGTACTGCTACATGACATCATTTTAACATACAATATGTTTGATAGGTTTCCAGTTAGCACACTGTATGCTAGCATCTCTGTGCACATTATGTTGGTAGTAGACATCATAGTATCACACAAAATGCAGGAAACACCACATGGTAACATTTTAATATATGCTATTCAGCTAAAATACTGCCTCCTGCTATCATTTAATTATACACTATATCGCTTCATGCTACAACTTTAGCATCATGTGTGTTTAATTGGCTTTCTGCTAACGTTTGGTTGCACGTTTTGCTGTGTAATGGTAGCCCACACATGTAGAACACGCTGGGAAGCTCAATGCTGCATGTAGCACTGAGAGGAAAATTCTCTCCTCGGACGTTTTTACAAACCATCAACCCATAGAAATAATTTTTGGAATTGTTTGGTGATGATATGTCAACTTTTTTGTGGTGTCCGTTTAACCTCAGCCTTCCTCCTCTGCCTCAGTGATTCACCACATTTCCAGGAATGACTCGGCACCCCCTGGACGTCCCACAAAAGGCTTTTTGGTTCTGCATCGGACACAGTGATGAAGATTTAAAAAATAATAAAGCTGTGATTGCAAGAGGATTAACTGTGAGACAGTGTAAAAGAACAAGACTTATACACCTTTTGCACATCCTGTCAGTACGTCCTGTAGTTGCTCTACATTGTGGTTCTTTCTAAGATAGATTTTTTTTTTTTTTAATCATGTTATGGGAAATCTTTATTATAGAAGGAAGTCCAATCACACAAAAACCTGATGTTCACAGTGTGTGTGTTGTTGCTCATTCATTGGGTTTTCTCGTATTAGTTCATCAGCTCTCACACAGGATCAAATGCTGGATGTAAAAGGAAATCTAAAGCAGATAAATGGATCTCGTTATGCACTTTATAACTGTTTGGTTTTCTACAACACTTCATATTATGTAGCTTCATTTGCAGGGTATTTTTCTGCTTATTTGATTTGGATAAAACAGAATCTTTAAGCCCTACAGACAGCAGCATGAGATCCAGTCTTTAAATGTATGAAAGAAAAATAAGATTTTGTCTTTAAATAATGAACTTTTTTCCTTTTACCTAAACATATTTGAAGACTAATAAAGTAGCTGTCAGACATTATTAGTGCTGCTTTTCTTGCTTTTTTTAAAATTAAAAGATATGTAAGCATCTGCTGCTAGTCAAATAATATTTTATTAACACTGAGCTCCATAATTTTGGTTTGTACTCGCTGAAGATGGACATGAACATAGCACCTTTCTTTAAGCGACGTCGCAGCAGTAAGGTAGGTCATCCTGCTGCAATCATCAGTGTTAAACTAAACAGATATTTAACTTACAGACACAACTCTCCCGCTGCCACATTAATTAATACCTTTTGTAGACGACACAGATTTTTATTATTTTATAGCTCGGAGCACCAAAGTGACGGCCTACATGCGGTACACTTTGACGGGATCTCACTTTGTCTTTGCACTTTGATTTCCCAAATCTCTCACCTCCACATGAGTCTCATTAACAGCTATGGTTGTGTGTCGCCTCTGTGAGCGGTCACCACGGAGCCCTCTGCCTATAGGAAACATACAGCGCTGTGGAAATCAATCTGAGAAAAATGCATGTTTTTAAAATATCTTGCTTTGGAGCTTTATGTTGAATCCCATATTTAAAGCCAGCCATCAGTGTTTTATATGTTGCTTTCAAACACGAGCAGCTCATCAAATGTGTTTCTGATAGCGAGGATTCAAATGAATCTGACCAAAGAAAATTAGGATTATTGCAACACGTGCAACAAAAGCTGATCAAATCTGTGTGTCAACCATGAACTGCTGGAACCGAGACGGCAGAGAGAAAACATACCGAAAAGCTGGATCTATCTATCTCATTTGATTTTTTTTTTCTTTTCTTTTCTTTTTCTCTTCACTCGTTTTGCTGTCTCTCGCTCTCCCTATCCCTCCATCTCTTGCGCGCTCTGCCTGTAAATCCATGCTGAGATTTGGCTCACACACACTGGAGCTCTCTGCAGCCGAAAGTAGGCCAAAAGCCATCTGAGGACAGGGCTCAGGGAGAGAACGAGGGAGAGACAGAGCGAGGCAGGGAGGTAGAGACGGGCGAGGGAGGAAAAAAAATGACAGTAAGTAACTGACAGAGGACATGAAGGATGAGTTTCTTCATCTGTCTTTATCACTTTTTCGTTGGGGACCTTTAAATCCTGTTTGATTTTTGGCTCCGTGTTTTTTTTTTTTTTTTTTTGTAAATGATCTTTGAGATTACATAACAGATGTGTGGCTTTTATTTTGTGTTTTGCTGTGAATTGGCTGCAATCTATAGTTTGTATTTGTAGATATTTAAATTTTATTTTTTTTGCCTTTAATTAGGTCATTTTATTAAACAGGAATCTAGAACATTTCTCCAAACAAGACAGTCGCCCTTGAAGCTGCTGAGCAAAATTAGAAAGAGCTGTTTGATCAAAAATCTAAACGAAACTAAATATTAAAAAAATAGTCTTTAAGAAATCTGTAAATTCACATCAAATAAAGTGAGCTGAAGGCCTGGAAGTCCATTCAGTAGAAAAGAAGACGAGTCTGGTACGTAGCTCTGGACCTTTAGTGTTTCTAACTCCTGGTTCAAAATGTGTAAAAAACAAAACCTAAAAAATCTGATTGTCATTTTTGTGCCAACGTCTGCTGTAATGAAACTGTTTGGAAGCATCCTGAAACTTTCTGCCGGGGGCCTGAACTAATAAATGAACTGCTGGATTTCGGACGTTGTTTTCTTCAGGCTTCAGATTTTATTCGTTCTTTTCTTCGTGTTTATTCTCAGCTGCATTTCTTAAACCCTTAAAGGCGACTTCCACAGACTTTTCTTTGGGTGTTTTAGCTGCAGGAAACTTTCTGAACCTGATACGAATCTGTGACTCTGACTCTGTGCTCCATGGTGCTCAGGCCAGTGCACATTTCATTTTACCCCCATCATGTATTTGTAGATTAATACAAGTTCTTTAGTTATGGATAAATTATTAGATTATATTTTCTCTCTTTCTTTCTTTTTATAATCTCATCTGCAGGTATGCATAGATATTTAAAACATGCATGTTTTTACCTTCATTTGCTTTTCAAAGGTCTTCCTTAAATATTCACACACAAAATGCAGGTACTTGTTTTTCACTTATTAATATTTACTATTTCTTTGTTCATAATTTGCAAAACATTTTTTGTGTTTCTAAATATTTTTTTCCTCTTCAGCATCGAAGCTACGTTTACTGTGGGTCCCAACATTAGTTTCAATAAATGACAAAAAGCTGCAGTAAAATGAGCACAAAGTCCTAAAATGCTAAACTTTACCCACTCTCTGATTTTTATAATTTGTTTTCCACGGTCACATTTGTCTTAATTGGAACGGATTGCTACACATGTGAGAAACAGTTAATGAATTATTGGTTGAATTTAGCAATCAGACACTGTGCTGCACCGTACCGTCCTTCCTCACCTCACTGAAAGTTAACTCTTAGTTTTACTTTCATTTTATTTCAGTGTCCTTCCATTATTCATGCTCTAAACTTCTGGTAAATTGTTTGATTGTCAGAAAAGTTATTATATTTGTGTTTATTAGTTTAAAGGCTTTTGGTAAGGAAAGAAAAAATTTGTACTAAATGGTTCAGAATATGAGCACTCATTATAATGATTGGTTATAATGTTGGTTATTACATTTCTTTGTGTAAAAGCTGATTTTCTCTTATTATAATAAAACAAACGTGTGGTATTTGCTTTTATTACAGCACAGCTTCATTTGGGACTTTGTGTTGTTGACTTGTAATATCCTATCGTGTACTGTACTTAAAAAATGTCACTTCATAAATACTGATCTGATTTTCTCTTCTTTTAATAAAACAACAGCGGCTTTTATTATAGTATAGCTTCATTTGGGACTTTGTAATTTGAAAAGTCCTGCCATGGATTGGACATAAAAAATGTCACTTAATAAATACTAATCAGATTTTTTTGGGGATTTGTTTTTTTAGAAACCTACATTTTTAAAAAATGGTTTCCTAAGACCTTCACTTACCTATTCAGCATTACCTTACACATTCTATTTTTGAGGGGAATTTAACATTTTCTCTTCAATATCAAAAATTCAAGCTTAATTAAAATATTCATGATCATATCCAGACATTTTGTGGCACTCTGCTGAGGCGAGGAAGCTCATCATGATGTGTAAAGTTAGGTGTC